GGCAGATTGTAAATTTTGCTTCGTAAACACTATTCAAAGCTTTACTCACATTTAAATGCTTTTGGCATTTCACAGAATAAGTTTTGAATTGAGTGAACCTATATACGTACTTTTAAATGGTAGGACCTTATAGACCTAATTATTGGCTCACAAAAATTATTTTAAGATTTGTAAACTTACATTCTTCTTTTCCTTTCTCAATCATTTATCCAAGCCTATTAATAAATTTCATGAAAATTTATAGGATTTCCATTTTTTGTCGTCACTCAGAATTTCGCATGCAGACTCTTTGATGAAAGAAAGTTGTAAGGACTCCCTAAATAGACGTACCAAATTCTCTTCAAAAGATTGCTTTGACCAACCTGAGTACTTCTTAAGCATTTTATATTATAGGTATTCTATCAAATCGCAAATTCCATCACAATTTATGCCTGTTGGTGCATTAAGAGTAAGTATTTTCTTAACAGACATATCTAGATTGTATCCAATTAAGTAATTTTGATGTAATTACCTATGGGTGGGTCCCAAGTTTTCACTTAGCGGTTCAATATTAGTCCCTTCCTTTTAAGTTAACAGAAGCGCTAACTGAACATGCAAAAGACAATTAAATATTTGACCTTTCTAATATAGGGAAAATAGCTTTGCAATACTTAGCCCTTAATGGAAAGGTATTCAATTATTTTTTATTGCCTTTGATTGAACAATTTTCATTTTGTACGCACTTTTGGAAAAATTAATTGAATGATAGTGCCGTAAACGATAGCGAAACATATATGTCTCCAGAGAATTGTAAAATTTTTCTATAGTTTGAGTATTTCAATAGGTTTAATTTTAGACTTAATGAGAAAAGACAAACACACTGACAAAATATACATATTAATTTGTATACCCATAAGAGATCAGCACTATTTAAATTATTTTAAACTCAGGCCTGTCACCTAAATATTTACTATCATTAGCTGATAAGTTTAATTTGAGCAATGCTACTCCCTACTACTTACCTCCTTTTGTGCTTTACAAAAAAGTTTTAGGGGAGAAATTGGCCATTGAATCAATCTACGTACTTTTTATCACGAAATATATACTTTCTTACAATGATTCCGAATCAATGAAAGATCAATGAAATGAGGAGTAGTGGTTTCCAGAAAAAAACCCTCAGAACTAAAACTGTTATGGTGCAGAAGAGGTCACTTCTCCACATTAATTAATTCTTTGTTCATTAAGCAATTCTCACACGCAGTTCGATTTTCTATTAAATTCAAGACCAACCTATTTTAAATTCGCTCCTCCATTAATTTCAAAAAAATTAATTACTCCTTTAATTGATTTAAAAAGTTACCTTAAAGTGATGAACAAAACGAAGTTAGACCTATTATTTATATGGAACTATTGAATTCAATTAATCCTACTGATACTTTTTAGGCGAAAAGTTTATGCTATACCAGTTATTTCATTATCATAATTGATACTTTCTGTCTCAACCAGGAGTTACTTCCAAATTAATATCCTGAAAAGTTAAATTTGTTAAATTAAAGTACATTGCGAATGTATTTTACTTAATTAAAATTAGCCAGTGAAGCATAAATAAGAATTGCACCGTTATTGTATTTGACAATCTTCATGACATGCAGGTTTATAGATAAAGACAAATTGTAATGTACGAATCATACAATCGGATTTATGGTTTTGAAAAGGTTCTGGAGACAGTCCATGGGATTCGAGATAATTAGCTTGTTTCTCTTTAGCACCATTTCAGAGTACTTTTTGATTAATCGGTTGTCAACATGAAGGGCGATAGTTCAATATGGTGCACTTCAACATCCCCCGTTTTTGATAAGCTTACAAAGATTGAATGCTAAAAGTTCATTTCGTCTGGTGAATAGGAGCACTGAACATTGTCGAAAGCGCATGTGCAAAGCTTTTATTGTCGCAAACATTAGCAGAGTTGGCAGCTTTGTCTATAATTGCTATTGCTTTAATTTCATTTTAGATATTGATTTAAATTTTTAAGAATAAAAAAGGACGTTAATTTGTGAATCCATAGCTTCCTTGGAGTTTATAATTGATTAGCATTACATGTGAGCTTGTGAAAGATGCCCTATTTTCTTTCCGGAATCTGAAAACTCCGAAGATGTTTAAAGGAACGAAAATGAGACCTGTAAACCTTAATGATGAGGTCTCGTTGGAAATTCGGTTTTGTGATTTCAAGTATGAATACGCTAAGCTTGTTATTAAAATGTTGAGTGTACAAACTTGGAACTAGCCTACTCACCCTATTAAGTCGAACACTATGTTGAATATCATCAGTCATCCGATACAGTAGTCAGAATTTATTAGTAATTGATTATTGGCTCTTTCTTCTGAATGAGCTACTAATGTGAACAAGGAAAGATGGATCATAGGTTTATGAATCCCGATTTGGCTCCAGTATTAATTTTTGATCAAATCGCTACCACTTACTGCTTGTCGCAGAAATATTTGCTGAAAAAAATTCAGAATTATACAATAATAAACATCCTGCCTCGAGCAGCCTGAATGTTACTGCTCTTTCCGCGATGGAGGTGTAGTATTTTATGGCTTTTATCATGGACAATAAATTAATAATGCATGGGAGTAGCGTGCTGATCTGCAGTGTTCAAACGCGTCTATTGGGCCGTGCATAAATAAGCTCGAGGACTCAGGGTAATGTTTGATTTTATATGCATAGTTGCATCCATATACAACTACATTTTTTTTAAGCGTCTGCCCTAAATGGTTATACGTTGATTCACATAGTACAATGCAATAAAATACAAATACAAAGAGGTGGCATTAGAAATTAAATTAGACTTTCCCGATAGTCATCCTCAGGTTTATGAAAAAGAATACGTAACCATTTAAGAAAATATGCTCTAGATTAATAATACAATTAACGAATGTGTCTATAAAGATTGATGTTATAAAAGTAAATTCGTTAGGCGTATATTTGATCGTCAACACAACTGAGTCTCTCTATAAGATTATAAGTTCGTTTACGATGTTAGTAAACAAATATTGGGCCACTAAATCGAATATTTAAGGTGCATTTGAAAGAAATTAACACGCTTCTCTTCTCGTTCAATAAATTACGAATCATTGCCTAACTACACTTGTACGCTACCAGGTAAAAATATCAGTCAAGAATTACTATCCAACCAGGTAGCAAATCACCAATTATATATTTTAAATTCTTTAATAAGTAAATTGACATTCGAATTGAAATGACCTTTGTTTGAGCTACAAGCGATTTTCCTTCTTCCTTCTAATGATGTTGCACAAGCTCTTATATTAAGGTCATTTAAACTAATCAACTAAAATTTTATGTTGTTTTAACAAGATTTCATTTAGTTGATAAGAATATTTTCCTAAAAAAACTATTCATGGGCATTTTTCAAAAGGCGCATTCAACATAGGTAAAAAATGGGATCTAATCAATTAGAATAGAAGTATAATTTATTAAATAGTTCGAAATCCTCTCTTAATTATCAGAACGAAAAGTTTGATAGGCTTTATCCCAATGGAAGCAATTTAGGGCTTCGAATTGAAAATGAACAAGGAATTATAATAATAAGCAAACGATAATTGAACTTAAAGTAAGGAGCGTATTAAATTAATACCATAAATTTCCCTTTTATATTCAACTGAAAATTTATACCTCCTTATCTAAAAATTCTCGTTTGGAGAATTGCACCTGCAAGTTTCTGAGTGAATGGAAATAAAACTAATTTTATTTATTTAAATTTACAGTCAAACTGTGGTTTGAATGACTACGTCCAATGTTGAAAAAACCTAAATAATCAGTAAAAGTAAAATTTATGGATAGCCTAGAATCTCTTTTAAAAATCATCTTTTATGTCCATTTCAAAATTTCCCTAAGGGTAACCGATAACAACAGTCTGAAATTTCTGTTTTGGAGTTAAATGTATTTACAGCCCTTTTATCCAAAGGCTCTTCTGAGTAATCAAATTCCAAAGAGAATTAATAAAGAAGTTGTTATAAGATTATTTTATCAAGAAGTCATGTAAAACATTGATCTAACCAGTTGAGAGTGTCGAAAACAGTCACCCATGCTAATGCCAGTCTGTAATACCGTAAATCTGCATCTAAAAGTAAAATGGTGAAACGCAATGCTGAATTAAGTCCCAGAGCGCACAACCTTCTAATATTATCAACATGATCACCATTCATTAGAAAAAATATTAAGAACGGATTCTAATGTCTAATTCTAGGTTGTTTTAAAGCCTGCAAGCTATTTGAAATGCCCATTCTCAAAACATCACATTGAATGTTGACACCGAGTTCAAAAGGGCTCTTTCCAATAGTTCACCTTAAAAGCAACAGAATACACCGTTCATAATAAGAAGAGACGAATTAATTTTCTCGATTCCACGAACCAAATATATCCCCCCCCCACTTCCTCCAATTATTTCTTCCTCCTGCAGCTATGCATTCGCTTGTTCCACGCTCCTATTTACCGACAAACATGGCTCATTTGTCATAAAGATAAAAATCAATTACAACATCGAATCAGCTACCCCGCCAAATATGCTAAATAAATTTTACCCTTCCTAACTATCGTTTTCTAAAGAATGAGCCCATATTTGCTTTGCTTTTTAGTTAATAGAAAAGCTTAATTTAATAGTGTTAATGATTCTATTTAGGGAGTCTATACATTTTATATATGCCTACCAGTTCAAATGCTCTGCCATTGCGGACAGTACTTGAATGAGCAAAATGACAATCTAGATCAGAATACAGTCTGAATAGTCAAGTTAGTGAGGAATTTTTATTAAAACAGACATCTCCGTTTATTATAGAGGAAGTATTCATGGATTTTGGTGTGTGTTTGAAGGAGTGATCAAATGTGAACTGTGCGAAGGTGTGCTTGAAAATTTAAAAATAAATGCAGAATTGTAGGGAAGTAAGGTTTTGAGAAAGTTAGGGAGAAACAAGGAAACCCAGTGTGTAATCCGTTCGCGAATTCACTCATCAATTTCCTCGAAGTTCTTTACGAATCCACTGGTGATGATTCGATTAAAGAGATAGTATAGTTCGGACCAAGCGCCTGTTGGCATTCCTAATAGCACTAGTTGCATTTCCTTGCGAAGGTAAACACCTTCAAGTACGGAGTAGAGATTGCTGAATTGCTCTTTATTCAAGTGGGCTGCAGATGCGTAATCTTCAATCGTTGGACTCTCTAGAATATGAGTTGCGCAAATTTTCTCTTAAATCACCAATTTTTCTTTGAGTGGGCCATCTTAATGATACGATACTGCAGTATTTTGTACTCTTTGTAGGGACATAAAGCTTTATGAAATTTGAAATTTCTTCTGACCGATAATCTATTACTTAATTTGTGCAATTCTTGAAAATCAAGACTTTTTCAAATTAAAAAAATAACATTTTTGCTAAACGTCCCCTCTTGGTAACATTTTTATAATTATAAAATGGATATCATAGGTATGACAAGATTAATTGTGGGGAACAAATGCTATAAGTGATAAGTGGTGCTATGAAGAAATAAAGACATCAATAAGTCCCATTTTATTTCATCTCCGCAATAAAAAGTCTCCCTTCATATAATAAAATTACGAAATTATTCCCTAGATTAATGGCAAATGCAAATAAAAAAGGATTTTGAATTATGATGACCGGTTTTGACACTTCATCCAAATTTTCGAACAAATATAAGGATATATTATTACCATGCTCCTAACATTGCAAAACTGAGAACGCACCAACTTTGTTTTACATTTCTGCCTAAATAATTTTAAAATAATTTTAATTTTTCATATATAATTTATATCATTAGATTAATAAGAATGCGATTTCATTCCCATATTTAGAACTTTATATTCACTTAGGCCAGATCTTTGATCACAAAAGTAATTTAATTATACAAAAGATTCGTATTATTTGCAGGTATAATCAACGCTTTTAACAGAAATACTCAAATAGCAAAATCCAGTGCTGCAAATTTAAATATCGACAAGACCACATGGAGCACTTTTTCAATGGATTGTTTAGGTACTAATTTCCCATTCAGGTGGAAAGCAAATGATTTCAAATGCTTGTTATTTTGACATCACTCCCCAATTTTATCAATATCCACTCCACCTCCACCCATGTATTACGGAAATTTTCTAAAAAGTCACAATTACATTTAATTACGGCCCATTTATTTCATTGTAAGAAAGGGACAAAAATCACCGATCCTATTGAAAAAGACTGGTGCTTCCAGGCTACATTAAAACCCTTTACGAATAAAAGTAAGTGATAATACTATCACTATGTTTTGAACGAAGATTATTTATGATCTATATGTATTTTTTACCTAAAAGTTAATAAAAGTAGACGACAAAAATATTATTTCAAATGGTAGGCTTTATAATATAATACGAAACGAGCGAAACGACAAAAATATAACATTGTATTAGGAAATATTAAAGGGAATTTGGAAATCGTATAATAATCAAACTAAATGTTGATAATGAAGTGGGATAAGGCACATAAATAGAAGTGTAAAATAAAGGAATCTATAAAATAGGGAAATAAAAAGAAGTATATTAAATTGAGTCAAATCGAATAATGTTAAGGGACAAAGTTCTGTTTAATTTAATTATGATCTCCCAAATCTTTCATAAAACTTGTCGGCTCTGCCTCGGTAAATCATTTTCACATACAGTTTGAAAGCTAAATTATTCCATTTTTTAAACACATTCCTTCGCAAAATTCTTAGCATAACTTAAGAGAAAGAAATCAATTGACTATCTAAAATGCCGTTTTGATTGTACGAAATTTGCCTCTAACTGATAAAAACACACTGCAGACACCTTGACTTAAAAAAAATTGTTTATGAAATTTAAATTTTAATAGATATTAGAGGGAAATTTGGACTCAGTCTAGATATATATTCTTCTATAAATTATTTCAAGTGTTTAATCTTATTACTTACTTTTGCACCTAATCAAACGAAGCATAAAATCTTCACTACTTACCAACAAGCATTTTCGCCAGAATAAATGGACTTCCTTCTCCTAAAATGTCTGGAATTAGCCAGTCATGGTACTTCGTTATGAATTGAACCATATATTCCACCGGTGGTCGTTGTTCTATAATGAAATTACTGAAGTTAAAATTTCATAGGAAGTCTCTCACTGCTTTTGCTTAAGCGAAGTAGTGAAAATTTGAAATTCTATCTAAAAAAGGACAGTGAGTTTGCCCGCAATTTTGTTTACGAGATGTTTGTCAATGATGAATGAACCGATCGTCCAAATACTGTTTCTTTCTCTAATAAGTAATAAGAAACTTTTTGGTTGGTAGATTGGAAATTAATAATTAAGCATCATGGGATAGTTAGACTAATTTGCATACTGCGTTGATTATCCCAATATGACAACAAAAAGTGTGGTTTGTGCACTGCGTAATAGTTTAATATTTCTGACTTCAATAAAATTTTTATTAATGGGGCATTGTTACCAACAAATATCATTTAAAAAATGGTCTTGACAAAATTTTTATAATGGAGTGATACTGCACGGAAAACAAATATTACTTGAATATTACTTTTCTTGGGCATTTTGCAATTTAAGGCAGTGCTTTAAATATAGTCAAACATTTTGAAATGTCAATAGGAACGAACAAAGTTGCCTCCTTAATGTTGTGTTAGGCATCTAAAACAAATAATAAATTTGATTTGTCTCTACATGTTAAAATGTTTGGATTTGACGAAATTAAACCTTGTATCCTTATTACACGATATGAATTCTGTTCTATTTTACGTCATATTAAAATTTTGAAGCGACCAAACGTTAAAATTCCAAGTTCATTATAAAGGATTTTAATTAGGCTTGTGAATAAAATAGTGATCTACTTATATTTTTTGTGATAAGTATGCACTGAATTTTGATAATAAACTAATCAAATTTATTTAGTGTAATGTAATTGAAAAAAGCTGTTGGAAATAACGACTAGAAATTAATTTTTAAATTTTATCTCTACCTCTAACAAAATAACATAAATTAACATGCATCAAAATAAACCTAAGATAAGAATACTCTTCGAAAATTTTTTTAAAATAGGACACAATAAAAAATATTGCGGTTACCAAGCTTCGATGGCCGTTTGGTGACTTGATGTCGAAGCATCATTTTCCGTTTACGTTCCTAAATCCATTGAGTCTCCATATATATTTTTATCTCCTCTTGATTTCCTGTACACTGAGCATAATTTCTGCATTGGCACAACTACACAATAGAGTTTAATTTCCGAGCGCTTAAACTTGTTTTGGCTCTACTTATCGAAATTTAAAATGCAAGTTCATGCTCAATTAGGCATGATCTTATTCACATTGGCTTTATGATAATTTCCCGTTAGCATAACAATTGATGCAAAATTGACTGTTGAAACACCTTTACAAGGCTTTGCATTGATATTTTATATAATAAGGTAAAAGGCCATAAAGATCGAGCAAGCTATGTAAATGAAGGTGATGAAGGCCCGACATCAGGCGTTTAACCTTATTTATTTACTCAGTAAGATCCTAACATTCCTTAAAATAATTTCCTGTTTGCAGCCAATTTAAAATCAAAATTCCCATTTTAGTGGTACCTTGCTGTTCACTCTACCATCCTATTGCAGTCTAATGAAAAAGTATACTGAAAATCTGTTTAGATAATAGCCCAATAAAAACTATATAATTAACATTGTAATATTTGTACGAGCACTAAGATAAAATCTGGGAACAATTTAATATTAAAATTCTACCTAAACAAGAGAGATCCGCATAAAGATAAGCAGTTTTTAACATACGCATTTTCGCAAAAAATGTTGTTTCAAAGTTACCTGGAAATTGACACGATAAGATCTAAGAAAGCCGCAAAATTATATTTTACCAATTAAACGGTCTTTTACCATTTTCGTGTGATGACAGAGTGATGTCCAGTTTTCTTTATTTTATTAGTTTAAAATTTCCTAGTGTATAAACCCTAAAATGTGTGAAGTTAGAAGTTGAAAAAGAAGGAAATCCATTTACAATTAAAACCGGACCTCAAGCCAAAATTTTTAATTCTTTACATACTTTAAATGATTAGGTAAATTATACGTCATTAATAGAAATAAAATTGACAAATCAATAAAACAGTAGCATTTCATTACTTTATGTAAACCAAAAAAACTTTTAGTTACAATGAATTTTAGCTCGCTCAAAATAATAGACTTTAATGGAATTTTCATGAGCAGCTTAAAAGACCAATACCAATTTAGATAAAAGCTTTTACTACTCCCAACTTAACAGAAAATTGATTTTTTTAGTAAATAAATGCAAAGTTACATAAAACCAAACAAAGCGATTTGAGGAAGCGGGATTAAATATTAGAACAATTTAATAGCTACTGAATAATTAAAATAAGAGCCTTGTCAGACACTTAATGCAATAAGTATATAATTTGGATTTCATATACAAAGCAGCAATATAGCCATCCAGTGGATATTCAAAGATAGAATTCAAAAATTGAAACTCTATTTGAACAAGGAATTGGAATGAGCCACCATTTTTTCTATTTAAAAATATTAAAGTTATAAAAATTATTTTCAACCAGTTTGTTCCCACTGCTCTTTTTGCGTTATAACAAGTTGGTTTATCTTAAAAATGACATATATTTGGTCAAATGTATTTATCTGTTAATTTAAACCAACTTAATCTACTCACGCTTAAATTCATCGCAATAACCACTATTTCATTATTAATTTTAATTTAATTCATGAGTTGTGATCTTCATGACTTTAATTAAAATGAAAAAATAATCATTTCAGCATGCCAAGCAATAAATAATGACTACTTTTGCATTAATTCAAGATTAAGCAAATTTAATAATTTCTTTCGTTAAATATGAAATTTTCGAAACTCATAAGAAGTTCCATTCTCCATTTTTCTGATAACAAATTTTCTTCTCTTTAATTTCGAATGACTACATTAAAATTTTCAGTTACTCATCTTATTGGATAATTGATGCCCGAATATTATGAGACTGTATTGCCCTGTTCATTATTCAGTGGAGTCCAATATACAATTAAAACCTAGGCGTTATAAATTCTTGTGGCACATGATCCGTCAGCAAATAACAGATTCATTTTGCTTTTCATTTATTTAAAAAAAGAGAAAAGAGAGAAGAAAAAGGTAGAATGCTAGTTCATTTGTTGCTATCGAGACACATGTGCATATTAAATTTGTCCAATTATGATAATTTTGTAGAATCTTCAATATTTCTATTAAGATTCGATGTCAATTAACAATTAAATTATGAGTGCATTAGGAATAATGAAATCAGTTTCAGTTAGATGTCATTAAGAAAAATATTTTTAAAATATTTAGCAAAAAAATGCTTTTAGGTTTTAAGTATGTTATGTAGAAGTATGATTATCTATTCTAAATCAATGTCATCCGGTGATAATACTTTTAATTCAATTCCAATTATAATTGTGGTAACAATTTAAGTACATTAGCAGCTCACTTGCAATGCATAATTCTTCATCCTCATCATAGCCATCGGCACAGTCCTTTTCGCCATCGCAGATGAAGTCAAAGGCAAGGCATCTGTGTCCTGTTCGGCAGGGCCAAGGTCTCGTTTCTGGGCATGTGTTTGCAAGAGTTACATTACGGTGTTCACCTTAAAGGTAAAGCAAAATTATGTGAGTACCATGCTTTGTGCAACTAGTCTAAGGCAAATATCGTCTTCTTTTGTTAGCAAAACATGAGATATAAAGCAGAGCATTTAACTATATTATCACTTTTTTATTTTATAGATTACCCTATTTTTAAATATATTCACTAAAATAAAGTAATTATAATTAATTAATTAATAATGCAAAACGTTTGTGCACATCAAAATCCGTTGTACGATATTCAATGCCAAAGTATATTAAATTCTCAGGAAAGTTTGAACTATCTATTGCAGATGCCTGCAAAGTAGTAAACAATTTATACACTTGAAATAATTTCCTAATTCCGCATAAAACTGTTAAAACACTGGCACTTAGCAATCACCCTATTTAACTGGTTCTGTAATTGAACATTTCTACAACTTTTACTTATGATTCATTACGACCATTTATTAAACATGCTATTATATTCACCCCTAATGTAAAAATCACCCATTTCGGTGCAGTCCCCTATTTAATGTCAAACTCTTCAAAAATTAAGTTTATTTTATGGAAAATAATATTCAGAAAAATTTTAACCATAAATTAAATTAATTACCATCATTTGCGAAATTCATCGAAATTCTTGAACATTCCACTCTTCCATGACGAAAAATTAAAATCCCAAAATATATTGATAATGAAATAATTTTGACTATCGTCATTGATTTTGAGTTTAATTACTCCTAAAATAAAAATAAAAAATGAAAGATTCAGTTATGACATTTTTGCAATTCTCTAAACAGTTAGAGAGAATATTAGAGAAAGTAAAATAATTTCAAATGCAAATACAAGATACTAACCCTGATACTTAATCTCAAACTATCTTTTTCAATATTTCACACGATCGTTAATGGGAAAATGCGAAAGGGAAAACTCTGGCAGTGTTTTCAAATTATTCTCAATTAAGCGCATCAACCAATACACATCGCTGCCTTTAATCATTGACCAATCAGGTTGTGCAATGCACAGATGTGTCACCCAAAGGTAAACAGTGCACGTTTGGTATTGCTACATTCAAATGGGATTGATACACCTGACTAAAGCAAATAGGAACAAATAGTAATATCATTGGGGATCTCAAGAGCAAATTATGAAATCATACAATGTTAACTTCACAATATATGTCTTAATCAAACAAATCATGATTGATAATTAAATGTATGCGCTTATCATGCGAAATTGACTACTTAATAATCCTGCTACAAAAACCGACTTAGCACTAAAGTTTATTTTAATTGTGACAAGGTCTAGAGAAATGAAATGAGTCTTAGGTTTTTTGAAAATTAAGTCCCCAAATATGATACCATCCAACTGTGAAAGGCATAAAATATGGTTTTCAAATTATGTCAATGTTACTATTTAATATAGTTTTCCCCATTTAGAACTCCTTCAAAATTTTTATTTAGCATTTGTAGGCCAATAATCTCTTGAATTAGATGACCAATGCTGTAATTTTTAAATTGGAACATGAAATAAAAAGGGGAAAATGGCCACAAAATTACTGCGCACATTTTTATTTATTGAGAGAATTGTGATATTTCAATATGTTAAAATAAATCGAATGTGGATTTTTTCCCTTTTTACTTAATTTGAAAACAAATTATATTTTAAGCTAAAATTATTTATTGTATTGATAGAATGGATTTTCTGCCGTTAGTGTTATTGAAGGCATTAATTATATTAGTTATAATTGCACAATTCGTTTCCCCAGTGCCGAAATATTTTGTATGAATTTATTTACCTTATTTTTATCTCATTATTGTTTTGCTATTATCAGCTTGATCTTAATGATTTTGGGAACAGATACAGTTACTATTTCGATAAAATAAATAACAAAATATATCAGCATCGAATTAAAAAATATGTAGATTAAAATGAAACTTAGCCCGAGAGGTTCAGGAAATTTTGAATATTTTAATAAAGGAACTATTAGGTTGGCAACTAAGTCATTGTCGATTTCAAATAAGAAGGCAAATTCGGAATTTTTGTTTAATATTTCAAATAAGAAGGCGAATTCGGAATTTTTGTTTAAAATACATCTTTATTCAATTAGATATTGGCCATCTTGTCGATCGACCTTTTCCCATCGTTCTGGCAGAGTAAAACTTCCCCGTTCGACTTTTTCCATCCTTCTGGCAGAGTAAATATTTTCCGTTCGACCATCCTTCTGGCAGAGTAAAAATTCCCCGTTCGTAAAATACTGTTCGTAAAATGTCTGGTCTTTGCTATTAAAAAAACTGAATTCTGGCAGAGTGAAAATTCCCCGTTCGTAAAATGTCTGGCTTTGTAAAATGTCTGGTCTTTGCTATTAAAAAACTGAATTAGGTGTGATCCTGACTCATCCGCGTTGCAAATTTTACCATTTAAAGAGTTGTGTTCAAATTTTACCATTTAAAGAGTTTTGACCGAAGCAAATGATAATTCGAAGGCGCAAGATGGAACGAAACAAATGATAATCCAAAGGCGCAAGGTCAGGGCTATATGGTGATGTGACAAAACCTCCCAACCCAGTTCCAATCATTTTTGCCGAGTAACCAAAGGTGTGGGAGGGCCTTGCGTTATCATGATGGAAAACAACACCCCCGATTTGATAATGCCGGCCGCTACAACCTTCCGCCGATTTGATAATGCCGGCCGCTTATCTTCAATTATCCTTCAGTTTTTCCAGTTCTTCAACATACGCATTTGAATTTATCGTTTGGTTCTGCGGCTCAATTAGTTCAAAACAAACAATTCCTTTGTGATTCCACCAGACTGACAGCATAAACTTTTTTGG